TCCAGAATATATAAGGAACTCAAGAAATTAGACATCAAAACAACCAACAGTCCAATTGAGAAATGGGCTTTAGAACTAAATAAATTTCACAAAAAGAGAAGATACCAGCCTGAAATGGCAGGTATATGTTTCTTAAGGGTGCTCATGAATAATTAATGAACAAAATTAAATGACAATAAACATTATAGAAAAATCTTATTTTGTGTTTGCCAATAACCTATGTTTTCATATTCTTTCTTTTATTCAACTTCTGTGATTCAGAATACAGTGTAGACATCTCTGTAGTAAACCTTGCTTACCCTCAAGAGATAGCCCCAAACTCTATTTTAATATTCTTTTTCAAATGCTTCTGAAATTTATAACCTTCTGATCATACAGTTAATTTTCTCTTATTTCAATTTACTGTCATTTATATGATAAAGATTTGAGTGCCTATTATGTGTCATGATGTTTATTACTGAGAAAGAAAGATGCTGAGGACACACTGTCACCCATAAACTATCAGTCTTGAAGCTAATTGGTTTACTTATCCTCATTTTTAGAACATGTAACAATTCTTTTAAAGTACCTTATCCTCCTCTGACTTAGAAAATTGGTAGGAGCCTTCCCTGTATGTCTCTTTCATCTAGTTAAACCTATGGTCACCGAAATTCTCAGCTGTGGGTTCATCGTCAAAGTCATTCTTCTGAGTTCTGCTCCATCCTGTTCTCTGCTACATGCTGGATTTCTTTTTCTTTCTCATCTAATTATCACTAGACATAACAAAGGACAGAAAATGATTTCATTTTGAATTTGTCTTCAGCATATCCTCTCCATGAGGCAAAGTGTTTGGATTAACAGTACCAAAATGTGATGTATATAACATATACTGAAGGAGTATTTAGAGAAAAAAAATGTGTAGTTAGCAAGTATTTTTTGAATGGCAAGTAACAACAAAGAAGTTGAAATCTGTAATGACATGTTTTGTCTTTTAGTTTCTGAATGCTGTGCTTGCCTAGAAAAGTGGATTGGATATCAATGCAACTGTTACTTCATTTCCAAAGAAGAAAAATCTTGGGAAGAAAGCAGAGATTTCTGTGCCTCTCAGAACTCCAGTCTTCTTCAGCTCAAAACCAGAACTGAAATGGCATGTACTTCATTCTTGTTTCTTACATTCTTTCTCACCTACTAACATGTGCTACCTAACTAAAGTGAGCACTCGCATGTAAGTCTTTATTACCAGGTAGAAATGGTGGTTCTTGAGACCCTGAGTTTGATGTACCTTGTAATATTCACTAGAAAGCCTACAAAAAAGCCTTCAAAGATTTGTAGTATAGGAGTAAATTTTTAAATAGGTTAGGAACAAATGTACAAAAGAAACCCAACTTTTCCAGAATTAGTAGGCTGTTACTTTTAACTGGGACAAAAGAACCAACGGAGGGACTTTTAATTCTTATTTACTGGCGCAGAATACATAACCTCTTGCAAGTGTTATATGCCTTTTTGCCAACTTTCTGGAATGTACTGTAGAACCAGCAGAGAATCATATGAACATAAAATCAATCAGATTATGATTGTTGTTATTTAGCATTTCATAGGGGAATGAACCTAGGAACTGACACATGCCAAGCAAGCATTCTACCACTGTGTTGTATACCCAAGTATCTTAAAAACAATGACTGTGTTTTGAGACAGAGGGAGCTATCCCTGGTTTACATTTAAACTCCCTCTGTAGACAACAAAGTGAAATTCTGCTTCAGTCTCCTGAGAACCAGGGTTTACAGGCCTGAATCACCAGGTTTCTCTTGGAAATCATTCAATTCTTATGAAGAAATTCTCAAGCTGTTCTGCTCAGATTGAAGGGGTTCTAGGTATGAGAGTTATCCCTCATGATGTTGTCTTTGGGGTCACATTTGAGCATTGATCCCATGAATGAGATCAATGTATTACAGAATCTCATTCTCTTCATGACAATTTTCATCTCTCAAGAAGCAAGATTTTGTAGTGTTTTTCCACATGAGTCAATGGGCCTGGTAAATGAGAAATTCAAGACGTGATTACTACGCCTCCCAAATTAGAAGTTCAAAAAGATTTCAATTTGCTCACCCACTATCTGAATCTTATGCTGGATGCCTTTTAAAATGTATGTTGTTCTCAAAGCACATTCAGATTTGGTTAATCTGTCCTTTAAAACTCTGCTTGCCTCTAAGCAGAGTTTTATGAACGCCAGTCAAAACCTTTTCTGGATTGGAATGCATTTTAGTGAAGAATTGAATGCCTGGCTATGGGAGGATGGCTCATTCCCCTTAAAAGATCTGTAAGTTTCTGGGTAATGAGGATTTTTTTTGGGGGGGGAGCATTTTTTGTGAATTTGTCCTGTTGCTGGAGAGCTTCTCTCCAGGTTCCCCAAGCCCCTCAGTCCCACAATCCACTTATAAAATAATCACTCAGACGCTTATATCACTTATAAACTGTATGGCCGTGGCAGGCTTCTTGTTAACTGTTCTTTTATCTTAAATCAACCCATTTCTATAAATCTATACCTTGCCATGTGGCTGGTGGCTTACCAGCGTCTTCACATGCTGCTT